TCTCTCTCTCTCTCTCTCTCTCTCTGTCTCATTGTGTCATATGGATTACTGTTAATTTATTATGCTGATCTGTTCTGTACGACATCTATTGCACGTCTGTCCGTCCTGGAAGAGGGATCCCTCCTCAGTTGCTCTTCCTGAGGTTTCTACCGTTTTTTTTTCCCGTTAAAGGGTTTTTTTTTGGGGAGTTTTTCCTTATCCGCTGTGAGGGTCATAAGGACAGAGGGATGTCGTATGCTGTAAAGCCCTGTGAGGCAAATTGTGATTTGTGATATTGGGCTTTATAAATAAAATTGAATTGAATTGAATTGTTAAGTAGCCAAACACTTTTTGTAATCAATTCATACCTGCGATTTTGTAGAATCCCTCCTTAATAGAGCACATCCTTCTGTGGCCTGGGAAGGTGATGAAGACGTGCATCTGGGACTTTAGTGCCAGATACATGCCCCGGATGGCACGGCAAATGGCACCTTTGTCCAGGTTCTCTGCATCTCCCACAGAGTAGAGGAACATGCCACTTGCAAAGAAGCGGAGCGCGACACAGACCATCTGTGGGACCGTCATTGCTCGGCTGCGTGCTGTGCGGTGCTGGATGTGCGGACCCAGCAGTCTGCAGAGGTAGCGGATCCCATCCGCCGAAAAGCGGTACCACTCATACAGGTGGTCGTCATGGTGGAGCAACGGGTCCGACCTGTCCCGCAGCACGCGCTCACGTCTACAAGCTCTGCGCACAATGAGTGCTTCTTCATCTAGTCCTGCAACCTCATTCAAAAACGGACACGCCATTGTGAAGAAAGAAACACACACGTCATGTGCATGGGGCTTTATGTATTGCCCTCATCACTGACTTCATTGAACACACCTGACGATGCTTATGATTGTTGAATGATTGATTCTTTTAATGACCACACAGCCAGGCTGGTGGAATTTGTTTCCAGTACAGCTCATTGAAACAGGTTCCAACATAAAGGACATTGAACATATAACATAGATATACAGACAAACACATTATCAAAAAAAAAATGAGGCAAATACATACATAAGAACATGAAATGACGGTAAAACACATTGATTTCCGATCGCAGTGACAGCTGACTGGACAGATAAGACACCAGGCTAAACTAAGCCTGGTTGTTAGCCTGGTTGGGACCAGGCTAAGTGCACAGAATAAATCTCCATGGCAACATATGTGCCTCTGCTTTCGAACAACCGAATCAACGCTAAATTAAGCCAGGATAACCAACATATCCCGGCTTAATCCCTTATCTAGGTTTTGAACAACAGGGCTCTGGAACTGGAGTAAGTTTGTTTTCTTCTGGTAGACCTAAATATGTAAACACGTCCGCCTCCCTATCCAATCAGAACCCTTCCCAACCCCCAGACCTTAAGCAGAATTGAATAAAGGCGATCAAATGTGTTTTCCATGTAAACCTCAATTCACAATTACTATTTCCATATAAACTCAAAAGAAAATACTTTAATTCCGAATTATTTAATTCTGAATAATTAATTCCGAAAAAAAACCCCATCGTAACCGTGGCCAATGTGTCCGATTACATTTGGAAGTGACGAGTAGTCAATCTAACCATGAATTTTTTTTCTCAATGAAGTACATTTTATTTAATTTGAGTCCAACTTGTAGTTATTAATGTGGTGGATCCTGTAATTAACGCTGGGATGCCTGATGTAAGGTTGTTGTTTTTTTAAAATTTTTATTGAATTTATTTTTTATAATTGAATATTCATCCAAAAAAAAAGGTCTTGTAAGGCAGTGTTTTTGGTGGCATGGGATGGCTTGTAATGCAGGTTAAAAAATTAAGGACTTGTCCTTGTGATGACATGCCTAAACATCCTTGTGTGAGTCAGAGTATAGAATTTCGTGTTTAACCTTTTTTGAAATGTAATTTTGAGATTGAACTATCACAGCACTAATATGGGAAAATGAGTGAACTTTAAAAACGAAAAAAAAGGTGCTCATAGTGTGTCTTGTTAAGTAGCTAACACAAGATCCACAAAAAATAAATGAAGGATATGTTTGTACTTATTAATAACCACATTTTTCAAATATATTACACCAGTATTTCAGCTTACTGAATTCATTTTTTAACCTTTAATTGTTTTGTTTTTTGTTTTTTTTAAAGATATTTTTCAGAGTGTCTTCGACACAGCAAGAGGAAGCTTCATCTGATATGGTACTCTCAATGTTAACTTACCAAATGCTCTCTTGCACAACCACACATTTTCTCCAAAATGTATTTCCGTTGCTTGAATTTTAATTTCAGAGTTAACATGCACAAAAATTGTCATTTCTTAAATGATTATACAGAACAGTGGTTCCGAACCTGGGGGGCACGAAACACCTATTGGGGGGGGTGCGAGATGATTTCTAGAAATCTAATCAAATATAAAAATGATTATAAATACACTATTGTACCCATAATTGTTATAAAAGATAAGATTTGTACAATATATATTATACATTATTAAATAAATTATATGACAATATATTTAAAAATGTAACGTACATAAAATGTACATTCACAAGTCTCTGGCAGTGTTTTTTGGGGGGGTCCCGGGCTAAAAAGGTTAGGGAACCACTGATATAGAACATTGTCTTTGCTCAAACATTAAATTCCCCTGCATAAGAGCAATGTTTTGGTAATGAAATTATATTCTTTCTAACCCATATTGTATCCTGTCAGATTTGTCCATTCATTAAATGTAATTTTGTTATGCCAATATATGTATTTTTGCTGAGCAGATTGACAAATTTAAATCACAAATCGACATTTAAGTATTACATCGGAGATAATAAAGATATCTTGTTACAAAGCTGTCATGGTCTTGAAGAATTTGTTTAAGCTTAATGTTGGAAAATGTAAATAAATATTTCAATTCAAATAAACACAAGAAGTTTGTGCTCTAAAAAAAAAAAAAAAGGATCAGCACTCAGTGAATAACCTCCTAAGCCCTACGATAAGCTATTATGGCAAGGCTTAACTATACAGACCAGTGAGCAGTGATAACTAACATGTCTTTGGGGTCATCGGGTGGGAACCTCCTTTCACCGGTGTTTCGTCTAGTTGGTCCCACGACACCTCCAGGAGGCTAGACAGTGATCTCTGGCGTCCCAGAGACACTCCCCTAATGCCAGGTCTCACTGCTCCCCACACTAACCGAACAACCTCCTTTACCTTACCTATACTACCACAGAGGAGGTAGACCCAGGGAAGGAAGCCTTGTTAGGCTATCACACTCCCCCGCCGGGTTAGGCTGTACAGTCTACCTCCCCA